CCTTTTTGGCCTTTTTAGGCCTCGGGCCGGCAGGCGCATCACGGGCCGGGGAGGGACCCGGGGTCGGCTCCGAGGCCGCCACGGCGGGAGGCATCCTGGAGGCGGCCGCAGAGGCGGCGGCGGTGAGCGCCGCTTCGGGGGCGGGCGTCCCTCTTCTGCCGCCCAGAGGTGGCCTTAGGGTCTCGACAGGGAGGCGTAGCTCAATGTCGCCTAGGCGGGCGTCCACCATGTTCTTCATGGAGGTGAAGATGTCCCGCCTTAGGTCGTCAATGGCCTCCCTCACCCCCGCGTGCATCTCCGCAGAGCTGCACGGTGGAGCCACCTGCGCCTTAGCCTGCGCCTTAGCCTTGGCCGCGGCGGAGGAGTAGGCTCCCCTCAGAGCCTTCATCTCCGTCTCCAGGGCTGCCAGTTGCCCCCTCATCCGGCGGTTGTCCTCTGACATCCTCCGGGCCGCCTCGGTCGCCGTCTCTCCACGGTGGAGGAAGTCGACGGCTCCCTCCACCTTCCTGACAGCCTCTTTGATGGCTTTCACCACCGTTCCCTTCAAGTTGGAAGACTTGGCGGTCTCCGCTAGAATGGCAGCGAGGCTGTCCCGCGCCTCCTGGGCCAAGGTCTCTCTCCGGAGACTCGCCACCTCCAGTTGGGCCTTTTCGTGTTGGCCCGGGGCCGGAACCGCAAGGGCCTCCTTGTAGAACGCGGCGTCGGTGTCGCGTTGAATGGCGCTCCACTCCGAGGAGTTGGAGCGCCCTCTGACCGCCGGCGCCATGTTGGCGTACGTCTTCATCCCCAGGGGCCTGCCTCTGCGGGCTGTATTTACCTTAGGAGCTACTTCAGGCTCCAGCGGCTCGTCCGACTGGGGGGCGGCGCGCTTGGGGGCCCTCGAGGATCCCTCCTCTCCGGCCGATCCAGAGCGCGACCTCCCCTCAGAGAGGGTGGACTCCTCATCCGAGGAGGCCGAGACCATCCTCTCGCTTTCCGACTCGCAGTCGGAGAACACTCTGACCTCTATAATAGGCGACTTGGAACCATTCATGATAAACACAAAGAGTCACAAAGCACAAAAAAGAAAACACCTCAATTGTCCACACGTACGGAAGTTTCGGGTTTAGTCACCCACCCACTGGCCACTGCGTTACCGCGCACCAAGTGGAATGGGGTCCAGGGCAGACGACGAGGACGTACCGAAAATTCACGTGGGACCTGCCCCACGGAAACCTAACCTAACCTAACCTAACCTAACCTAACCTTCCTGCCCGTAAGGTAGTCATCAAAGACCCTCCTGATATTTATTGGACAGTCTTCCTCCGCCAATCTGAGTCTGATTGCAGGCCACCAAGCGCTATCGAAGGCTCCCTCTATATCCAGGGAGACTAATGTTATTATTTTCTTTTGCTCTAATTTGCTGCGGATGTACTGCATTAGGGTATAAAGGGAGTCTTCGGTGCTGCGTTGTGGCATAAAACCGTACTGACGGCTACTCATTTTTGGCATTAGATGGTATTTCAGGCGGGCTACTAGCATTTTTTCGTATACCTTTCCTAATATTGGCAGAAGTCCGACTGGTCTATATGATTTTGGGGTTGCGTAATTTTCTTTCCCGGGTTTCCTTAATATGACAACTATGGCCTGCTTCCATTGCTGCGGGAAGCAGTAGTGTTCTAAGCACTTGTTCAATAGTCCCAAGAATAATTCTGGGTCGTTTCCAATGGCGTTTTGGCATATATCCGCGGTAAAACCGTCCACGCCTGGAGCCTTTTTTGGATTAAACGAGTTTAGTGCTATTTTTAACTCAGTAACAGTGAATGACCGGTCACATGTGCCACCATGGCTCCTGTCATTCACTTCCCCTGCTCTGTCTCTAGCCTGCCGATGGAATGCGTTATCATCGTCTTCTAGGTCTCTAGGATAGAATGTCTCCGCCAAACGGCGGGGAGGAAACAAGCATAAACACAAACAAGGGCTGTGTTCAGGGTTCCATAGCCGGCCCGATCTTGTGGAATCTCCTGCTGGACCCTCTGTTAAAGGGTTTGGAAAATAGAGGTGATTACTGTCAGGCTTTCGCCGACGATGTGATCCTGATCTTTGAGGGGGATACGGCTCAAGAAATACAAAATCGGGCCAATGTCACCCTCGAATATGTTAAGGCGTGGGGCGTTAAAAACAAACTAAAATTTGCAGCGCATAAGACCAACGCCATGGTAATAACTAGAAAACTTAAGCATGATACACCACGCCTTACCATGGGAGGGGTTGACATTGGTTTAACCAATGAAATGAAGTTGTTGGGAGTCACGATTGACAATAAACTTACGTTCAATAGCCATGTCGCCAACGTTTGCAGGAAAGCAATTGCGATAAACAGACAATTAGTCAGAGCCGCAAAGGTCAGTTGGGGTCTTCACCCTGAAGTCATTAGAACAATCTACGTCGCCGTAGTAGAGCCTGTCATAACTTACGCTGCCTGTGCGTGGGCACCCGCTGCACAAAAACTCGGAATAATAAAACATTTTGATACAGTCCAAAGGGGTTTCGCGCAGAAAATTTGTAGGGCATATCGAACAGTGTCCCTGAGCTCAGCACTAGTGCTGGCTGGGATACTCCCTCTAGACCTGCGAGTCCGCGAATCTGCTTCATTGTACGAAGCCAAGAGAGGAGTGTTCCAGCCGGAGTTGGGAGACAGGGAGGTCGAACAAATGGCACCGGCTCTGGAATCTTCGCATCCCGCTGAACATATTGGCCTGGAGTTCGTAAGCCTGGTGGACCAAGAACAGCTAGATTCCAACAGCAACTTTGATCTTCGCATTTACACCGACGGCAGTAAGATTGAGGGCAGGGTCGGCGCAGCGCTATCCATGTGGAATGGCGCAACCGAAACCAAGGCCCTCAAACTTACACTATCGTCATACTGCACCGTCTACCAGGCAGAACTACTGGCTATATGTAAAGCAACACTGGAGATTCTGAAACACAAGGCAACCACGTGCGGAGTATATAGTGACTCTATGGCAGCGTTACAAACTGTAACAAACACATGTTCCCTTCATCCCCTGGCGGTAGAAGCCCGAAAAAATCTTAAAACTGCAACACTCCAGAACAAACATGTCAGTTTGTTCTGGATCAAAGCCCACGCGGGACTAGAAGGGAATGAACGTGCTGACCAACTTGCTAAAGAAGCCGCATTGAATTCCAAACGAAAACCCCATTACGAACTGTGCCCGATTTCGTTCGTCAAGCGAAGCATTCGAATGCGATCGCTTGATGAATGGACCCGGAGATACAAAAACAGTGAAACCGCAGCAGTGACTAAAATCTTTTTCCCAGACGTGGTGACTGCATATGGAATAGTTAGGAAGATGGAGCATACCAATGTTACAACCCAGGTGATGACGGGGCACGGTGGATTCTCAGAGTACCTGAACCGATTCAGGTGCAAGGGGAGCCCATCGTGCATTTGTGAGCCCGATGCGAGCGAAACAGTTCCTCACGTCTTGCTGGAATGTCCAATGTACGCGAACGAGCGGTACAACATGGAACAGTTACTGGAGTCCAAAATGACGGCCGATAACATCTGTAAAATAATGATTGGAAAATATAGAAACAACTTTTTGAATTATTGTAAATCTGTAGTTAGTAAGATAATTAAGAGAAACAAAATAGAGTAATAAAATTATGTTGCCAAAGTATATGCTTATATTTTAGTGCAACATAATATCGTGACTAAAGTAGAAAATAGCAATGTTAGTTCATAAAAAAAAAAAAATTAAATAAATAATCCACTCCTGTCTCCCTGGTAGAATAAAGATATATAATGAAAAAAAAAAATATAATAAATAAGTAAATAAAATAAATTAATAATATAGTTGGATTGACGAAAGAGCCATACACCATTGTATTGGCTCCGGAGCGATTCTGAAGAGCAAATAATTAATTATTGTCAAAAAAAAAAAAAAACATATTTCGCTAAACAATGTCTCTGCTAACGGTAGAGGATACCAAGCGAAACATACAAAAAAAAAAAAAAAAAAAACCTAACCTAACCTAACCTAACCTTTTCACAATTTTTACAAAACTTTCGGCCTGGCCGTTGCTCGACGGGTGGTAGACCGGTGACGTCATATGCGAAATCCCGTTTGTTGAACAAAACAACTCAAATTCCCGCGAACAAAAAGCTGTGCCGTTATCACTAACAATCGTTTTAGGAACACCAAAGGCGGCCAGCCATTCATAATGCAGTTAATGACTAGCCGTAAGACTATGTCCGATTTTGTTTCTTCGCGTAATCTGTGTAAAGTGACGGGCATGCTGCCGTCTACTACGAAACAGACATAGGTCGCCCGGTCATATGCTACCTCGCAATCGCAGCACTTGCATTGTTCGGTGCACGCGCACTCGTGCACTTCTCTCGGCAGGCTCGCGCGCGACAGGTAGTCCGCACTGTTATTAGCGCTGCGAACGTATTCTATTTTGTAGTTATAGCTACTCAGAAACAAAGCGTACCGTTGTAATCTATTTGCAGACATCTCAGGAATGCCCTTATGTGGCCCGAAAATGGACAAAAGTGGCTTGTGGTCCGTTCGTAATATGAAAGGTTCGCTTCTGCCATACAAATATTGATGGAATCGTCGCACGCCATAAATTATTGCAGTTGCCTCTTTCTGTATTTGAGCATATCGCCTTTCCGCCGCATTTAACGTACGCGACATGAAAGATAAGGGTCGTTCTACACCGTCTTTACCTATTTGAGAAAGAATAGCTCCCAATCCCTTAGGAGAAGCGTCGACGGTTAAAATGATCGTCGCACTTGAATCGAAATGTGTAAGAACCTGTTCCGATGTCATAACGTTTTTAATTTCTCGAAATGCCGTATCATGAACTTCTTTCCAGTCCCATTTACAACCCTTTTTCAATAATTCATATAAAGGACTGAGGATTGCGGATGCATTTCGTACAAAATTCCTATAATAGTTTATGAGCCCTAGGAATGACTGCAACTCACTAACATTTTTCGGAACTGGTGCTTCAACCATGGCCTTAATTTTTTCCGGTGCTTTCTTCAACCCATCTTTCGTAATGATATAGCCAAGATAATGAACTTTATCCTGAAAAAATCTACAATTTTCTTTTTGTAATGTAAGGCCTGCGTCCTGCAGCCGCTTCAGCACAGCATTCAGCTTTTCAAGATGCTCCTTCCAGTCCTTACCAGTGACCAAAATGTCATCTAATAGACATAATACGCCATCTAGACCTGAAAGCACCCCTTCCATTGCGCGTTGAAAAATGGAGGGTGCGCTGGCTAACCCAAATACTAATCGGAAAAAGTATATAACCCACGGTTTGTATTTATGCAAGTAAGATTTTTGACTCGTTATCTAAAACAAACTGGTTATATGCCATAGATAAATCTAATTTACTAAAGTGTTGACCCCCATGTATTTTAGAAAACAGTTCACTAGTTGTGGGAAGTGGATATTTTTCCACCTGCAGCTGTTTGTTTATAGTTCTAGAGTAATCGGCACACAATCTGACTGACCCATTCTTTTTAAGAACTGGAACTATCGGAGATGCGTATTCTGAGTGCTCGACAGACTCAATAATACCTAACCGGACCAACCTCTCAATTTCGTAATGGACCTTATCGCGCAAAGCGAATGCGACGGGACGTGCCTTGCAGAAAACCGGTTTAGCATTATCTTTCAACAACAACTTAATTTTGTACTTGTTAAAAGTGCCTAATTTGTCCGAAAACAGCTCTGAATATTGTTGTTGCAGCAATTCCACAGGTGGTACAGAATCCACACAAAAATTCACCGGTACCAATTGCAAATTAAACGCTGATATAAAATACCTACCCAGAAGAGTCGGGCCTCCGTCACGTATTACATAAAAGACAATAACGTGAGTTTGTCCCGCATAACTTATCGGCAAACGAAATATACCTACACATTCAATTTTCTTTCCATTGTACGTCATCAGCTGTTTCAAAGTATTGGATAACGGCACATCTTTAAAATGAGTTTTATACAAGACCTCCGACACTACAGTTACTGTTGACCCACTGTCTATTTCAAATTGAAACGGTCTATTTTTAATTAGAACTGTTTCTACCATGGGTGCACCCCTAAATGAACGAATGTAATAAAGCTCACCGTCATCGCTTTCGTCATCCTCAACACATTTTACGCAAATGGCCTTTCACGTGACACTTTTTGCAAATGTAACCGGGCAAAGTCGGTAAAGGTTATAAGAGGTTGAAGATAAAATAGGGAATTTTAAGACGATCACTATTTTGTTATCAACGAAGTAGGAACCTAAGCTAATCATATCATAGTAATATCTAGTATCTAAGTTAAGAAATTGATTCGAATTATATAAAGTGCTCAATTTGCTTACTATATTGTTTAATTGCTTAATTGATAGTATTGAACGGTGCATAGATTGAGTACGACTAAATGCTAAAATATTTTCTAATCTATCTATTTCTAAAGAAAGTTCCTGAATATTTTCAGAAATTGCGTTAAAAAGTTGCATTGTCTTAATATACTGTATTACATGCTCTTCCTTCGAGGAATTTATAAGATAAGAAACAGCTTCCGTAAGCTTTTGTTGATTATGGCTTATATTATTCAGAGTTTGAGTATGTTGAATAGTCATATCTTGAAATAAAGTGATGTGTTTGTTTAAAGCCGCTGATAGTGTTTGATCATTCTTTTGCATTATTTTGATAGCATTTTCGAATCTTAGAGCGTCATTTTCATCAAGGTTACCTGTTATACTTTTAATGACTGTACCCAAGGGATTGATTAGATCACGTTTCAGTCTTTTGGGTTCAAATGATTCTAGGCGTGATTTTATTCGGTTTAATTTACTCAAGAGGTGTATGAACTGAAATTTGAAGATGAAATTGTTTTTCCTAGACACGTGGTTGATAGAGTCAGTTAACTGGATTTCAAGGGAGCTAACTTGGTCTTGGATTTTATTGATGTGTATTTCTTGTAAGAAGGAATGCTCGTGGGATATAATTTTAGTTTTGCCTAGGTTAAAGGGTAGTAACCCAGGTCCGTTCGATAAGTCATCAAGTCGGATGATGTTCCCCATCAGTTGGTCGGCTGGTACTGGGTCCAGGCATGACGAGAATCAGTTCTCTGCAACAATGTCGGTTTGATCTTTTTAGTCCTTTTTATGCGGGCCCTAGCTATAGGTTTCGATTTTTTGGCTGTGTAGACGTGGATGGGATAGTAGCGGTAACTTTATCTTGTGTGAACCGTGTAGCTAATTTTTTTCTTTGCGCTGTAGGGTTTCTAACATATATTTGTTGACCGGGCTCGTAATTAGTGATGGGTTCACGGTCAAGGTTACGACGTAACATAATAGCTTCGCGTTGGGCCAAAGATGACTTATGTATAATTTGATATATTGTGCTCATCCGATCACGGTGGTCTTGTGTATATTGCTGTAATACGGATTCTGTTAATTCTACATCAATTGGGTGTCTAGGGTCGATATGCCCTAATATAAGGTCGAAAGGCCTACATTTAGTTAAACTGTGAATAGAACTGTTATACGCAATCAATGCGTAGGGAATTAAATTTTGGGCCGACTCGTTTGGATGTTGTAGTTTTAGTAATCTTAAATGCTCTAGCAAGGTGCTATGAAATCGTTCAATCATGCCATTTTCGTGTGGTGCATCAGCAGCAGTAGTATGATGTTGAATTTTATGGATTTTAAAGAATTCTGAAACTACTTGATTTGTAAATTCGGTGCCGTTGTCTGTGGTGAGAGAAAGTGGAAATCCGTGGTGTGTAGAAAAAGACAGGAGGGCTTTTACTATGTTCGGAGCTGTGCAATCTGGGAGGCGATATGCCTGCGCGTATTTGGAGAATGAGTCAATTATTGTTAGGTATTTTTCTAATTCTATTGTTAGTACATCTGCATGTGCTAACTCGAACGGCCTCATAGGCGGGGAAACTATTTGAAATTGAGGACGTAATGGGACACGATCGTATTTAGCACGATTACATATGGAACATTCATTGATAAAATAGGTTATGCTTTCCTTTAATTTGGGCCAAAAATATTTCTGTGACAGAGATAAAAATGTTTCATTAATACCTCTGTGATTAGTTTTTCCGGTATGGTACTTAGAAATTATATCTTGTTGTATAAGAGAGTCTGTTACGTTCTGAATTTCATTTTTGCACAGCAGGACATTCATAGCGGGGTTTTGAAAAGTTCTTTGGAGGACAGGTACAATAGAGTACATTTTGTTAATGGGGTGTATTAGTATTGCAGTACGTAATTTTGGGTCAACATATTTTTTCACAATTGAGATAATTTCTTGTTCCATGTTATTTTCAGAAATTTCTACCTCCGTTCTTCGAAATGTTTGAAAGGGATGAGTAATTTTAGGGTTGGTTTTGACGGGGCTGTTAGTTAGCTTTATTATAAGTTGTCGTTTGAATTTGTTCAATGGGTCTTCTGTTATGGGTATGTTAAGTATAGGATCTTCTACTGATGTATGTGCTGTTTCTGTCACGTGTTCATATGGGTCGGGGTTAAGGACAGGGACGGGACTACTTAGAGCTCGTTGGCTAGGCGCGGTGTCGGTTGAGGACGCGCTGATAATAGGTCTGTCGCCCGGGGCTGTCACTGTCGATTCAGATTC